TATTTTTAAAGTGCTGACTATGATGGTTCCCGTTTCTGTCTCAAAGGCTAGGTCTTCCCCAGGGGAAGCTGGGCAGGCACAGACAGCCCAAACACATCCATATCAGACTTAAGAAGCATTAGATGAAACTGAAAATATTAACAGTATTAAATTGCCAGGATGAGACAATATCCTTCAAGGATCTGGAAGAACTTGATCATGAAAGTTCTGAATTACTGTGTTGTATACAACCTCTCTTAAAATGGCCTCATTACCACAGTAACAAAAAACAACACATGGGTGTTAATATTTTAAAAAGCTTCCAGTAGATCTCGAGAAACTGCAGACTAAAAACTGACTTCCATTGGGATGATTTCATAGGACAAGTTAAAAACCATACTAAATATATGGATAATATTAATTCCTCCCAAATACATTAGACTTTGAAGGTGTCCACAACATGTGGAAAAGGGTGAAGTACTGTTAATCTTTCTACAAAGTACCTATTTAAAAAATAATAAATTATAAAATTAATAAAAACATTGTAGTGTAGTAAATGACCTCTTAGCACATTGGAAAGGACTCGGAGCCACTGTGAAAAGCACCATGAAAATGTCAGCTTTGGTTTAGCCATGGTCAAAAAGTAAAAGAATGGTAGAAATTATTAAGAAGAAAAAAAAAAAAAAAAGAAAAAAAACAAACCACTGCTACATCCATTTGCAGTATGCCATAACTATCAAGAGTTTGGTTTGTCCTCTTTGAATTAAAAGGAAAACAGTAGAACCATAGCAGAGAAGGAAAACAGAATGGAATACCTCTTCAGACAGAACAGTTTTCAGGTAAGAGGAGTAGGACTCTTCAGCTAAAAAAGATATGAACAGTGAGGAAATTATTATCTCTCCCAATGAAAAAAAAAAAAAAAAAAAAAAACAGGCATCAAATAAAAGACCAGGATTAAAGCAAAAAAAAACACGACTTTTTCACACAGTGCATAATTAAGTTTATAGCGCTGGGAAGCTGGGGGGCATTGCAGAAGTTTCTCTTTTCACATGCTCTATTCTTGTCCTCTTACCCTAGGAATCCATTACTGCTTACCACCAGAGACACAGTACTCGGGAAGATTAACTTTCCATCTGGTAAGTTCAGCCAGACAACCATGAGAACTTTCTGTTCATTAGCCATATCTACTGTGAATCTTGCTGCAGCTAGTAACTTTAGGTCTCTGAACTGTGATAGCCCAGTACACTTTTCTTTTTCAAGGCATAAGGGGAGAGTGTACAGCTGTACAGAAAAATAAGTAATTCAATCTTTTTGTTTTCCTTCTTTTTTGTAAATAGAACCAAGGTCTTACATGCTGGAGACCATCCTCAAAAGCTTTTCCCCTCTACGCATCTTAAATCAAAATGTGGCATTATCCCTTTGGTTCTCTCAAAGGGAAGGCTGGACTTTGCAAGTTAGTTATATAATCAATCGCTCCTACCCAAAGCTTGGTTCTTCATCCCTCCCATTCCTTAGCTATGCATTCCCACCCTCTTTTATCAGCACTGGTACTCATCTGATTCAGACATGTAGGGAGACAGTTTCATGACTCAGGCTGGGAAAAAAAAAATTAAAATTAAATTTAAAAAAATAAAATCAGATTCTTTAGCTACTTGGATCAATCATCAACTCAAGATACATGCCAGTGGCAGAACTGGGACAGAGGCATTTCAGCCAGAGCCACCTGTTAGGTTAGATTAGCTGTTACACGCTTACCAGTGCAATGAGAGCATGCAGCCCCCACAAACCTTCTCCCAGCTCCAAGCACTCTTGGAGATCTCAAACTTCTCAACTATATGACAGATTTCTAGAGAGACAGGTGTACCAGGAGGCACCTGGACCTTGACCACCTCCATTCAGATTCTGTAAGACATAAAACTTCATCTCTACAAGCAAAGCTAGCTCTATGTAAAAGAACAGGTTTTACTAGTACAAGGGCAGCTTAAAGTGACATGACTGTGTCCATAGCAAGAATTTTTTTTGCCAGCATGTCTATACCAACAAAGCACCCTAACAGTACACAAAAGTATTTCAGCTGTACTTAGCTAGATTGCTAAACATGAGAAGGTTTCCCTATTCTGGAGCACTGGAACTCACCTTTGGTAAGGCCTGATGTATCACATTGCAAGGACTTTTTTTTTTAGCGGTACAGGTCTATCTGCTGAAACTTTTTTTTTAATTAAACATGCCCATTTATCCCTATCCTTTATTTTACCAAAAAACCAGCAACGCACAGTTTTGATTCTATCAATACTTGGGTGTTTGAACTTTCTTTCATTCACAAAACTGATCCAGAGGTCATAGACCCTTGGAAAACCAAATCTAATGAGTGCTTATTTCTCTATCTGGAAAAGTGTAACTTGTCTTCCCTATTATTAATATGCATGTAGAAAAATAAAGTGACTATACAGTGTCGAAACAAGCATTTGTTTTGATTATGGACACAAAGCTAGCAGTAATAGTTATACAGCTATATTTATCAGCTGTTATGAAATGACAGAATGGAATTCGTGTCTGTAATTTATTTCTTGCATATATGCACTATCATAATGACCAGGTATTAGTTTTTCCAAAGGAATCTCTTCGTACAAAACAAATAATGCTTCCCTAATGAGCTATCACTTGTTGCTCCTTCTTTGTTGTTCAATCTACAGCTCCATACCACATTTACAATTTTGCTCTTATTAAACAATAAAACAGCCCTGATTCCTCTATGACACCTCATAGAAAAAAGAAGGTGGACAATCACAAACTGTAGCATAAAAATATATGTGCAAACAATCAGAAATCCCATAATTTCCTCCTTCTGTCCAAGCAGCGGGGGGCTCCTGCTGTCTCCTAAACCATTCTCTCTCAGTTTCCAGTCCTGACTCCCACCTGCTTCCTCCAGGTAAAATCTCCCTTCCCACTCACTCCCAGGCTTAGTCTTTTTAAATAGCCTCTTAGCAAATTTCTGTGCTCTTTACCTCCCTCCATGAACTCCTGCTCCCAATTTTTCTCTGCCCAGAGAGTCACAGTTCTTCCCCTAACCACATCTATTCATCAAACGCTCCTTCCCTCCATACCACTGATTTCTCAACATCTTCTTACCAGACTCTGAGCCTCTCTCCATGCCCTTCTCATGGGTTCCTGTCCCTGAACATGTACCCATCCATTTGACCAGACCCTTTACACAGACCCTTTGCATTCACAAATCCCAAACTCCTGCTCATCCCAATCCCTGATTCCCTTGGATATCATGCCAAAATTGAATCCCACTCTCTTGAAAGCTTCTGTCCCATTCTGAATAACAGGACATAAGACTACTCGACATTAAAATTAGGTAATCTATTTTCCTTGCACTTGTTACTTGCACTGTGTGTCAGGGGTCACTGGGGAGCACAATAAAAACAACCAAAAAAACCCACAAAACAAACAAAAAAATAAACCACTTGTTCCGGATGTAGACCTAACACAAAGTCTAGGCCAAAGTGTGTGCAGTGCAGGAAGAATCTTTGAAGAACACAGCTGTCAAAAATCTAACTCCAATGAGTACATCCAAATTCTTCTTTCCAAGATATATAACACAGGCAAATGTACAATGGCATTAGAAATGGAAAAAGGCACACAGCTAAAAATCAAAGCTACCCTTTAGTAGAATCTCAGGAAAAAGTTTTGTGGTATTTTAACACGGCAAAACAATACAGTTTTTCCTATTCTCTTCTTGCAAAAAGGCTGGACAACGTTTTCTTAAGCATTCCAGAAATAAATCAGCCTGAGTTACTTGGGGGAAAAAAGTAACCTATATTATAACAAGGTCTCAAAAAGTTATAACAGAAAAAAACTTTTAAGGATATGTGCAAACAATTGTAACTGAATGGGTTAAAGGGGTTTCAGACATTATCAATCCTTTCTTTGGAGATGAAATGTGATAACTAATTCTCTGATGGCTCTTAGCCTAATATAGTGACACTCATATAGGTAAACTTCAGTTAAACTACCTTTACTGATGGTTTAAGCAAGCATGGTTTCTCCAGGACACATATAGGCTCAGTTCAAACAGATCTCCAAGCTGGGAGACGTCACTCCAAGATCAGAAAATCATCTACACCACAAAATGTGTTAATATAATCCTCTGTCATAACCTTACAATTGAAAGTATCAGGAAAATTGTGTAATATTTGGTATAAATGACCTAACATATAGTAATGCTATTTCTCTGGTGCCTGGACAAGTAAACAAATAATACACAGTGTGGGCACAGGAAAAAGATTTGAGCTTTTCTGCAGAAATAAGAATAAAGAAGAAAAGTTGCCCATTCTTGTCAAATCTCTAGACTTCTTAACAGATCTAATGACCTGATCTCATCTAATTAGCAAGGAGAGTTAGCCTTGAACTATATCATAAAATCAAAGTTCAAAAACATGGAAGACTTAAGACTACTAATAACAAACCAAATATAGATGCTTCTTAGGTGAAAAACACAAACAAAAAATATGTATTACATTATTAATCTGTTAAACACGGGAACATACAGGACTCCAGTCCAGTAACACACGCCATCTCAAATAGAAGACTTTCTTGTTATAGGAGCATCATTTTGCTCAGAAATTCCATCCAACCTAGAAGCACGGGAGAGAATCCTTGTTATTTTGAAACTTCACCGTTCAATACTGTTCTTAGACGGTATCTTCTTAGGCCACAATCAACTATTTTGAGTAATGCAATCTTGGAAATTGGCCTGTTACACTGAGGAATTGCCACTTAAATTCAGGAGAGCTGTGAGAGATTAAACCCATTAATATCAGTAGAACATGACACTTGATCCACAAACAGGCATTTTTATCTCACAGTTCACCCCTGTACAAAAAAAGACAGACAAGTAGAAAGTGCTTTAAATAAGAAAACAAGCAAGCTAAGACTGAAAGTATGCTGTTTTAGAAAGTGACAGTAACTATTCTAAGAACATTTCTTTCTGCATGTCACTCTCAGTTTTTCCTTACCATATATTCCATATTGGAAGCTGGCGGATACACCTGACCCCGTAATTTATTATGAAGATCCAAGATACTTTGCATATCACTGTCTGTGATAGCCCTTTTCCCTCTCTGCTTGGCGATCCACCACTCACCATCTTCATCCATGTACTTTTCCAAAAGTTCCTCTAAGAGCGTGGCATTGGGAAGAACCATTGCAGAAACTGCTTGAGCTATGAATAGCAAGGTAGTTACTCTGAGCCATTCCTGTACTACATACTTCATGATGAATGATCTCAAAATGCACAGGAGTTAGCTCCAAGACAAAGTCTTTCTTCCAGGTCTGTTGGCTGTAAATGCATAAGAAAGAGTAATGTAATTTGGACATTGAGGCACCAGCCTGTATGAACTTATTAACAACAAAAGTCAAACTGTAGTTTGTACAGAGTTTGGCACAGTTTTGTACAGAGTTTGCCACTGTTGTTTTAAGGGGAGAAACCAGAACGCTAGGTTTTTCACTCTAATAAGTATACATTGCTGCTTGGGGGAGATAGCTTATCTTCAACCTTATGAACTTCAGTTTTTTCAAGTGGTTTTATATAGTATGCTGGCATGCACGGTTCACTGCCTGCATACTTTTCCTATCTACTTAAAAGAAGCCAGACATCAACGAAGATTAGACTGTAGATAAGGTCTTCCAGTATTGGAATTTAAGAACAAAAAAGGTCAAAAAGTCTTGCATCCATTGCCAAAATGTGAACTGAAAAACACAATAAAGTTGATAAGAAATATTCCCTCGTGGTGCATTTCAAAATATGACTTTGATTAAAAAGTTTTTGTTTTATGATTTCCAAAAACCTAATAAAACTAAAGGTATTCAACTTGCCTGAGAAAATGGGGGGAGATAGTGTTATTCTAGTCACCAAACAAAGGAAAGCACAGATAACTCTCAGAAAAAGAACTACCCCTTCCTAGAACACAACATTCCAACACCGCTTATTACACGACTCAGTGCTTTAGGTAGGAAAGCCACGGTCACTCCCTCACCCTGGGTAAAACGCCGTGTATCCCGCCA